TTTTCACAATTCACACCATTTAGCTGTTTTGGGTTGCGTTGTTTACTGGCTGAAAGAAAGCTAGTAGTGGCCATATCAAGACATGGCCCCAGTCCATGAAGTCATTGACCGTTTGTTAGCGGGACATAGACTGAATTAAAGCATGCTCAATGCACGATTGCTTTGGTGCACGCTGACTGGCTAATTCTTATCCAATCAGCACTAGTCGATACTCGGAGAACACTCTAGAATCTTCTCATGTAAAAACTATAAATATACTAACGTTTTCCCTATTGTGCTTCTGACTTGCTTCTTACTTCTATCTAACCTTGTTATTTGGGATATAATCTCATTCCTGTTCAACCGTGTTCTGATTTGGGGACTTGTCGAGTGAATCGGTGTCCGAGAGTACCTAGCAACAGGAATAGCTGGGTCATAGCTGTAAGAAAGAGATTATAACACCGTTGTATTGAGATTTGTTATTAGTTACAGACTATCTGATTGGGGTCCACGCAATCATTGTAAACAATGGTCACAGACTTTAAGTGACATAGCTCAAAATCATCCACAATGGCAGAAACACATTCACTCTTTTTCTTTCTTTGAATCTCGTCTTAAAATTATCTTATTCTTTTTGTTCCTCAAGTTCATTCTCTCTTTGCTTAATGCTTCCTACTATCCTCAGATACTGTCAATAGTTTCACTAATCTTGAATCTTGATAACTTTATGTCGATGTGCTGTTATGTTATCGCAAATTAAACCAGGATCTATGTTACTTATAACCGACTATCTGATACTATTTCATGTGACTTTTTGAAATACGAAATAGTTTAACATTAATATAGATGCTTCTGTATAATTAATTACAGTTGTGTAGAATAGAAGAAAGAATATGACCTTAGGGAAAAATGATCACAAATAGCTATTTTTCATTTTGAAAATTCTTTCACAATTCACAATATTATTGATTTACTGTCTACATTTCATTACTATGTTTAGATTGTTTTAGTCATATGATTTATTTTCCGGTTTGTCAAATTTATTTGGACATTGAAATCAAAATATTTCTGTGTTAACATTTAAGACACTAATCCATATCACGTGGTGAATTCACTAATCACACTTTAATTTCGATATTTTTCTGTCTTGTGTCTACCATTTCGTCTATATTCAAGAGTGGTAGACTTCGCCAGTGATACGTCCTAATCTTTACAGCTAACTATTATCTAGTGCAAGCTACTCTTTACAAAATTTATAAATGTTTTGCATGAAAAATATAGTCTTTGAGCGATGTTAAAAGTGACCTTGTGAGTGTCTACCTAATAACTGGGATCAAATGAGGGTTATAAACCAGTGTGAGGAATTAGAATTAGAATTTATGGTTGATGGTTAGGGTTAGGAATTAGATTTAGGGTTTTTATCACGAACTGATATCAGCTATAATGTTAAAACTCTGTTTAGCCAAATAGATGAGTGAATTTCGCTCCAAAATCCGTGACCTGTTATCTTATACCTTATTGGTTCGTCCATAAATTATAGTCTCGCCGTTACATCACTCCAGCATATTGTTAATGTGATTTCGTTGTCCTATTGAATAATTTCGAAATCGTAAACAAAATTCACGTCGTTGGTCATGTGACTGACTATTTTGTATAACGAAATGTTTTATTTTTACGTCAAGTTTGGGACGTTACCAAATAATAGAAAATTAGTGGATAATGCAGCCATTAAAATTTTGCATCACCAATCCATTGTCTTCGAAGTATGATAAGTACATAGTGTGGAAAAATATTTTAGTTTTGAAACTTATCCAAGATATATGTCATTATAAAAAGTAAAAATTTTATAATCTATCGGTTTAATCTCATACTTTTTATGTTGACTAACATGCTCTTGAAATCTAGAAATTAAGACATCAGTGTATTCACTGTTGCACGTAATTATTGGAGGACACGAACAATGGAGAGAGGTGGTTGTATGCCCTCACTCTGCCTGAGGTGTTTGTATATAGGGCATTTAGGATGTTAATAAACTTCTCAGATACACTCTTCTTCAATAGACAATCCCAGAGAACAGTCCTGTCCAACGAATCGAAGGCAGCCCTGATGTCAAGAAACACTACGATTGTTGGCCTTTGATAAGTATGACGGTGTTCTAACATTTGGAGGAGAGTGAAGATATGATCAATACATCCTCGACTAGAATGAAAACCATTCTGCTCCTCGCGAGTCACTCTTTCTCGGGTTTTGAAAAACCTACGAAGTATGACGGAAGCCAATAGCTTGGATGCAATCGGAAGTAGACATATCTCCCGATAGTTGTTACAGGAACGACGTTAACCGTTTTTAAAGATAGGGACAACTATCGACTCATTCCATGACGTTAGTACACTCTCTAGTTCCCAAACCTTTGTAAACAACGTCGTCAATTCCTTAGTCAAAAATTCACCACCATCTTTAAAAAGAGCCGGAGGTAAGTCATCTAGGCCAGGTGATTTGTAACACTTTAAGAGTTGGAGTTCCTTGCGGACTTCCGCCTCATTTGGTGGATCAGTCGTCACCGGTCATGGAGGGCAGGACAGTCTGACCGATGTTGCCGGAGCAGCAGGCCAGTTGAACTGCCCTTCGAAAAATTCTGCCCACCGTCCAAGACGTCGATGGATGTTAGTGATTGGCATCCCATCATCCTCGCAGATTGTTTCACTCACACCAGACTTCTTGCTGCCAGTGGCTCGGATGAGCTGGAAGAGCTTCCGGTAGTTACGAGATGCAGCTGCTGCTTCCAGCTCATTAGCACGCTTCGACCACCAGGCTTCTCAGTCCTTACGCATGCTTTTCCCGATTTCATTACGTAACAGCTTTCGTTCGTGGTCAAGCTCGCGGTCATCCGGAGTAGACCGACGGGCTTCAATGAGTTGTAAATAGCCTGAAGAAACCCAGTGCTTATAAGCGGGAAGTTTCGCGAAGCCGCAAGCGGCTTTACTCGCCATTTTCATGGCGTCATGAAGTACTATAAACTATGTTAAACTATATTTATGTTTGTTATTTCATTATTCTTTAAATGATTAAATTGAAAAGAGAAAGAACACATTCATAAACAGTTAACTAAAATGAAAATCAGAAGGAAACATGTAAAATGTGTGAGAAAATAAAGATGAATTGAAACAATATCACATTTGGATAAACGGTGTAGAAGAAGAAAAATTAATTGAGAATTTTATGATTGATTATGTCATAAATACGCTCTGTGTTTAGACGCCTTTGTTCTGTTTCACTCTTCCACATTTCAAAATTGAACTTCTCATCTCGATAGTGGAAAGCATTGTAATGATTGTGTTATGTTATTAGTTAACTGGATTGTTTTCCAAACATAAACAAAACTTATACTCTCTTTGTAAGATTAATGTGAATGGGAAAAGTGTTTAAATTATGGGAAGAAATAAAGTGTGTGTGTGTGACTTCATTCAAGTTCTACAGTGTTTATTAATTCACATTAGTCTTTATTTTTACATAAACAAATTTGGTAAGAGTACACATACACATAATCGTTTTATTTTTGTCTGAGAAATATTTAGATGAAGAATAGATCAAATGAATGTGATCATCCTTTTTTCTTTTAAAAACTGTTAGTGATTCATTTACATGAAAATAAATATATTGCATGGTTTAAATCATGAAAGGATCTTAACCAAAATCATGACTGGAAAACTGGAAGGAGTGGATGAGTGTTTTGCCGTAGTATGGGACTTCTCGGTAGATTAATTGATGATTTAAACTATGAAAATTCTACAATCTACGAATTTCCTCTATACTACTACTACTACTACTACTACTACTACTACTACTACTACTACTACTACTACTACTACTACTACTAATAATAATAATAATAATAATAATAATAATAATAATAATAATCATTATTATTATTATTATTATTATTATTATTATTATCTACTCACAAGTGACAAGCTTCAGAATAGAATTGCCGGAGTTCTAGTGAGAAGCTGTGGCTAGTGGAGTTCTATCATGTAGTGTGTAAGAAGGTTGTGGAACATCTTGAGTTGATTGAATTTAAACATGTACACTGTTAGGTGTCTAATCAGTAGTCCAATTTCGCCAAATAACATTTATACTTAGCCATAATCTTTACATCATGATATTAGCTAATTTGCTCTTTTTTGCTTACTATTATCTTGATCAACCCCCCTGATTGATTAGCTTAGATATCTTATTAGTGTAGGGTTACTTCGTTACTATTTTTGGAAGTCCAGACCATGATTCGAAAGTGACAAGTGACAGCTTTTACTGATAAATAACATTTTTAAAATCACATTTTTTAAACTGTTGGTAATTTTTAAACCTTTAGAAATTTACGTTACACTTAAAAATTCACTATATGTACCTCATATAAACGATAGTTTTTCCACAGATTCAAATCCCATCGTACAGTCAAACGATTAACCCTCACATAACAGGTCTGCGACTCCGAATCATTGTACATGAATCTACACTGAGCTACATTAAATCACATTATTTCTTTAGCCCCACCTGTGAATGGAAATAACAACGAGTTTGTATAATTTGAATGGGGTTCTTGTCAAGGATAGACATTGAAAACATTGGTATACTCGATTAACGTTCCGTCGCGCTGTGAGATTCTTTAACAAAGTAGATTCGTAACCTTTTCACTGATGTAAACCAGAATTCTCATGTCCCTCGTCGAACAAGTCATCCTCCTTCTCAGTAGGGATCTATCGGTTTACGATTTTAATTTCAGTCAGTCAGTGTTAGAATTAATTGTTATGCGACTTAATTTTGGATGGTTGAAATCAGTATTGAACTTAAATACCCAACTTATGTACATATTTATCACAATTGTGACTTCATCTAAATCTGAGATGGTCATTATTTATTGAAATTTGCAGTCATTATCGTTTTAAATACTTTTCAACTATAATAAAAATAAATTATGAATACGTAAAACGATGTTGTATTTATTTGCTTTTTACTATTTATAGGTTGATGAACTCTTAGAAAACTATGAAGAAAATACTATGTATGAGGTTGGTAAACTATTGGCTAATAAACTAAATATACCATTAACTGAAAATAACAGCTTGCCGTCTTGGTTTCCTCGTGTATCATCTAGACAGTTACGCAGCTCAGCTGGTGATAATCTGTTACCCAGTATAGAAGTGCCCAATGAGCAGTCTAATTACGTACCAGACGTTCAACAAAACCGTGATAATAACATTTCTAACAGTGGAAATAGCAGAGATCCACTAAGTTCTGTTCGTTACCCATTGAGTACTGCTTCTACTGGTGATAGGGGTGTCGTCGGTGGCAGTGGTAGCGTTTCTCCAGAATTATGGGATGATGAAATATTCGATGATGCAATATTGAGTCATGCTGCTCAATCTATGGAGAAACAGTTAGATTGTAGTAGAAGTGGTAAGCTTATTTTTAAGTCTATAATTTTTCGTAATAATTACTTTTGTGGAGATTGTCAAATTTAGAGTTTATTATCACAGACTGACTTTAATTAGACAGACGTTAAAAGCCAGTAAGCGCCAGACAGGTTTACTGTCTTAGTATGGGACTTTTCAGCAGTGGATATTCACAACCACATCAAGTGTTGAATCTAGGAAATTTAGGTCTTGTGGGAATCACTTAACCTTCAGATTTGAAGGGATTGTAGATAAGCAATTCTGAATAGAGTCCCATACTAAGGCGATTTTTTGAGCGATAACATTTATCTCCTAACAATAGTTCAGTTAATTAAATTCGTCCTACAACTGATAATCTTTACTGCGGAGCACAATGCACGCAGATATCTGATATATAAGGGAAGTACTAAGTTCAAACAAGTTCTTATTATTGCCATATGGGGCTTGTGGGAGGTTGCAGAATTTTCATAGTTTAAATCACGAACTGATTTAATCCAAACAATCATTAAAAACTATGAAGTACTTCACAACTTTCAACCTAGTACGGGACTCTTCATCGATCCTCATTCACAACCCCACCACAAGAGATTGAACCCAGGACCTTTAGTCCCATGGACGGAATGATTGTCCAATACTTTCTGGTTTTAATTGGTGGTCTAGCTAAGAACAGTTCGTGACTTGAACTATGAAAATTCTTATTATTTAACTTATAGAACGTTTGCGACTATTAGTAAATATTTCCCCTCTAATAATTCTTTTAAGTGACCTGAGATTATTATTTAATTCATTTCTTGAATTGATTTAAAACTATGTAATATCACATGAATCAATGAACTTCAAGGTAAAATAATTTTAAAGGTTTTGTCATTACTTTTTGCTTTCATTTCAACTTTACACTAAATACTACTTATAAGTAAGCATGTATTAAAAAATCATCGCAACTGCTTTCTCTTCAACGGTTAGCCTTGCTTAGAAAGTAATTTAAGGAGAAAACTTATGATCAGTTATCATAGCTAAATAGATTCATCACGTCCAAGTGACCGGCTCAGAAACGTTTTTTGTAAACACCCTAGGGATTTTGTTATAGTGTTGAATTTTTAAATATTACATATTTATGATCATACTGTCAATAAGAATAGGACTACTCTAGAGGCTCTTTACAAATTCATTCTAGTCAATCAAATATAAGGTTGAATCTAGCACAAATTTGAATTAGTCCGAGTTTTGTATCTCGTATGAGCACAATGAGATAGAGAGATAAGATGAAAAGCCAAGTTGTACAATATACTTTTTGAAAACTGAACATATAAAACCTAGTGTGAAATAAATGTATGAATTAGTAACTTAATGGGTTGAAGGATCTAGACAACGAGTAAGGATAAATACATTTGGATGACTATGAAAAATTTCTGACCATAGGAATAGTGCACTTTCAAATATAGCTCCCATCAATGGTCAATGACTTTATGGACTGACTCAACATCGTGGTTTAACTATACCCCAGTCGTCTTCCAACTTGCTTTCGTATTTTAACTTAGAGATTAGTTTACTACAAATAACGAATATCAAATCAATATTTTTTATAATGATTATTTCTAGGTGTATCGATTCCACGAAGTTCTGTCCATTCGTTCAATGATCCACTTCGTTTACCAACAAGTGTTATATCTGATGAACGAGAGCGACTGTCAAATGAATCTAAATTTAGTGGTCTTCAACGTACTCACAGTGTTGTTGATGAGAGCAAAAACAATGTTTCTATTGATAGCGATGATCCGTTTTTAGAAGATCAAGTCGATCCAGATATATTGGCTTCTGCTCTAGCTGAAATAGACGAGCAACAGTCAATGAATTCTACAAACTTTCCCAAAACTAATCAGTTAAAAGGGAATGAGATGCGAATTTTTCAATCCAATAAAAATGTATCCGAAACAACTGCAACTTCGTCCACATTATCATCAACTTTAATGAAAACAAGTACAGTAAGTCAACCGATAAAATCACAAATAGAATCAAAACAAAGTTTGAAACAAACGTTATTAAAGCTACAGTCACGCAGTCGATTAGTGGATAAACTGAATGATAATCCATCACTCCCTTCTTCTTCTTCTTCTTCTTCTAAACCGCAACCGACTGAACCATTCTCACCAGAACCAGTAAAACCAGACATCAAAAAAGTACAAACTAACATCGATAACAATGAAGATCTTCTGCCACCAGTTCCTAAACGTAAAACATTGGAATTCAAGCAAACAAACAGTACTATTGCAAGTAATAGCAAATCTAAAAATATACTACAGTTTGCATCTTCATCCAGCCATCAAGTTGTTTCAACGGCTACAGAAGATAATCATGATAAACACATGGTCAGTAGTAGACAACTGTCATCCAGTTCATTAGAAATTGATTATCACTTTCATCCATTTTGTTATATTCAAGTGAGTTTAGACTAAGTTAACCCTTACATATTTCTGTCTTTTCAAAATTGCAAGCCTGATTTGACTTGTGGTGAAGATTAATCTCATTTTAAATTATTCGAAACCACTGAGCACTGGATGACTGATTTATCCTAATAAGGAATCCTTCAGCGTTAAAATTGATTGATTTTTGCAAGTCATTTGTCTACTACTGGGCTACGTACTCAACTCTGACTCATGTTGTTTGTGTTGGCTAATTCGACTACCTGACTAGTGAAACCAATGTAGGTGAAGTATAGGGTAAAACTAGCGACCCACAAGTTGGAAGCTGGGTAGCCTAACCATTTAACCACCTCCAGATACAATTACATAACAAACTGTCTACAATTTATATTTTACATTTTCATAAAGTGTTCAGTGGCCAATTGAAGCTATCGCCTACCTGGTAAAATCATTACTCAATTGTCATCTGTTAACATTTTGTTTCAAATTCGTATTATCTCAAATCAGTTAGTTCAATCTTCAGAAAACAATCTTCATCTTAACATGTTATCAACTTTAATGAGTAAACACAATAAGGTAACTAAGCTTGTGTTGCAAACAATATCTAGTATTAACTTGTAAAGGTGAATTAACTCAAAAACATATTGAGCAGTCGGATAGTTTAGACTAATAATAAACTGAACAAAAAAATTATTGAAGTGATTTATTTTTCTTCTGGTGTTGTTTGAAGAAAAAACAGGAAGGTTGATGAGAATCAGTTAGGTTATTAAAGTACTTGTCAAATGTCAAAACATATATATTCCTCGTTAACCATTTGACGGTGTCTTATACGAACAAATATTCACTTAGTTTAAACAAAATTATTTAATTATTCCCTTAGTTTTAAATGATGTAACTAATATTTTTAATACGAATAATGCTATCTGATCATTCCTCTGGAGGAAACTTTCACTTCTTGTTAGCTGAGTCTCAAAGTATCCTTCGTCAAAATCTCTAGAGGCCCATAGTGGCCAGGAAACGTTTTACGTAATCAGCGTTGAATGGAATCTTCGCAGATCTATAAACTGCGAAATCATGCAGCACGCTTCTAATTGTTTGTTTACTTATACTGCCACTATATTTTGTGTGGCCGCAGAAATTTCCAGAAGCTCAAGGTCTTGTGTAGCTCTATAAGTATCCTCGTCTTTGTTTATATAATCTAACTTTGAAATTGATAAGTCTTCTAAACTGGTCTGAAACTATATCAGCTTATCTCTTTGTTCTTCTTTTATGGATCTCCTGAGTTTCTATTGATCGAGATATGATTGATCTTGTTTCCTGCAGTGTGGTTTAGTGAAATCTATGTAGTTTTATGTATGGATTCGCGGAGGGAAATGTTCCCATCTATAACCATATTGTTGAAAATACACAGATTTACCAATCTCTCTCCATTCTAGTTCCTTTCTCCCAGTCCATGTTGCCCCATAGTGCGTTCATGCTTAACGCTGTCCATTTCGACTTTGGCGTATAGGTCTCCTATCTAGACGACTAGGTTTTGCCTTAGCCACTCATAAAACTGGTCTTTGTCCTTGCTGCTATCACTGATAGATGCGTAGCACTGTATAACATTCATTGTATTCCCTTTAGTTTTAATGCTTTGATAATCCTGAAGCCATGTGATTCCCGTCCTAATTTGGAACTGCTCAGTTATTATCACTAATGAACTAGTATAGGATTGAGACGAAGATCTTCAGTCATCACATGGCTTAATGGTTCGTATTTTTAACTTTGATCAACTCATAATGTTACTCCCAAAGATTATCAATCATCTTCATGAATAACAGACTTGAAAGTCCTTGGTCTTATAGCTGATTTGTAGGTACTTACAGCCTTTGGAGCCTCGTGTGAAGACACAACATCTATATAGTGTTCGCTATATATAAATTTCCATTTGAATGAAGTCAGCCTATCAAGTTAATCATCATCACATTGAAAAATTTGAACTAAATTTTAATTATGGGTTCTGTGTTCTCGTATACCCATTTTCGCGCATCGCTTTATACTACTTGCTAATATTCAGTAATCAGTTCAAGTAATTTGTGATATCTAATATCCTAATGTACTTACATTAGCTAAAGACATTTACTTTATTCATTATTTTCATTACATCCTCCCAACCCTTGTAACTGTTATTTTTAGTTGTTTTTTTTGTATTCCTCGGGTTTTCGTTTAAACTTGATAATTTATTTGTTTATATGGTCTTAGTCCTGGTTCTGATTGTTGATAGTCATTATCTACGTTAGTCACAACTACCGGCTGTCATTTACATCATCGAAGTATTTTTCTTTTCATACATATGAATGCGTTAACCGGAACCGATACCATACGAGTCGAGAATCGTTCCTTACATAAATCGTTGTTTTGAACCTTGATTTCAGGCGTATCTTAGTCGTGTAGTTGAATGCTTCGATAGAATCAACATTTATTCATAACAAAACACAGGTTGATGATACTATCTAGTTCTCCAAAAGCAACCCATGAAGTTGGTTAGCCACCAAAAGTCAAACTTCCACAGAAGTTCACTACAATTTCAGAAAACGATACTTGAAAAATGTTATAAGACGGCTTTCTATCAGAATATTGACTTATCTGAAGAAAGAAGTATGATCGTGAACATAGTGTATCATCATGTAGGGGAAACATCATGAGGACGATGAATCCCAAGTTAATTCACTGAGAGCATGTAATAGCATTTTCAATCGATTTCGAAATGGATGAAATTAGAAAATGTTAGTGACTCAGTGTATAACGATATTGTAGATGCACATATCTGATAAATCTCATTGCAACGAAACATTCGCTCAGTGTTTTCTCGTTTTCATTTAATTTCCAGTTATTTTCAAAAGACGTATTAACATTACATATTCACTGATCGTTCTAAGGTTGAATTTTTTTCAATTAACAGTTTTTTTAAATAAAAACTTTCATTTGTATTATCGTTAATACTGATTAGGTTTCATCATAATCTTTTGTAGGATATATATGATAAACTACTTAAAACAAAAGATAGTAGTAATGGTTCAGCCTCCATAAATACTGTTTACACAATTCGTGGTTTGCTTATTAGTTTGTTGTCATCATTAGAACATCATAATGGTACTAAATGGACACTAGCTGTGCGAATTACAGATGGTAGTGCAATTCTTGATCTGGATGTCGCTTCAGACTTACTAACTGAATGGATTGGTTTAACTCCTAGTGAAAGTGAATCATTAAGACGATTGAGTAAAATTGACTCGGATTCTTCGAATCCACTTGCAGTTCAAGAGGTGAGTGTTATTTTCTTTTTTCATCCAGTCTGGTGATTCGAAATGTTTCTTCCTTACTCGATAATGATATTTTAAAACGTTGCTGTGAGAGTATAATGAAATATTCATTCATCATTTTATCTCCATGATTGTTATATTATTCTGCTACACTTTTTTGATGCTTTACTGAAAAGTGATTATTTTTTCAAATTGCAAACTGGTCTTAGCTAGAGCACCATTGAAAGCAGGACGTTTTGGCTAGGGTTTCATTCTAGTATGGGTCCCCTCATTATTGCACTTCTGTAACCCTATGGTGGCTGGTACTATGCCAAGCCGACATAAGTTTTGTAGCCTCTGGACAAACCAACCTATTCATTCTCCTCAAGCCACATTCTTGCCTTGTGACTTATTCGCTTATTAACCTTAACGGTTTTTATTTGAGTGTATGTGTGCTATTTACCTACCTTATTCATTATGTGTCTGTATTTTTGTTTGACTATAAATATCGAGTCACGATTGATAAAATGGAGTTGGCTCACTCTCCTTCTCCATTGTTCGTCATTTCGGTTTCCTTCTCTCTCTCTCCTCTTCTCTGTGTTTCCCTGATTGTTTATCCAAACCAATGAGCGTATTCAAACTTTATTCTCGTATTTGACTTATTTTAATTCTGTTATTCACTAACGCGAGTTAAGTCGATAATTGTATGCGAGGGTAGACAGAATGTATATTTCGATGACAATCATAACACGATTTAATTAGTCAGATGAAGGGCCACACTAAATCCTCACCACTGGGAATCGACCTCAGGACCTTCTGTTTCATGCACACGGACATTTAATCTTTAAACCACCAGCTTGTAATCTAAAACTGGAAATTCTACAATCTCCAAAAACCCCTTTTACTGAAAGTCTGCTTATAAGTTTATTATCTTCCCATTCTCTAACGATTATCTCCCAGCGTTTCATAACAAAACAAAACAAACAACTCCATGTTATTATTGTTTGAGTTATGACGCAACAGATATTTTCATACTGTGTTGTAGACAGTAATTCAGTGTTATTTTTGTTAATTTCATAATGTTATGCGCTACACCAACCAAATAAATAGGATTATAAAGAAATACAAGAGGGGATAAAAATATTTAGTAAGAAATGCATTTAATCTAAAAGATACACAGCTAAGAAAGACGTTCTCCTTTGCTTATACTGTAAGTAAAGGGAAACTATATCAGGATCACCACTGGTTTCTCTTCTGAGCCTTATTTGATAACATCTCAGTTCACTCTGTCACACCATCTCTCGTACTCCAATCACATAGTCATAATGGAACACAATTTTCTTCTGTACCCCGACGCCATGTTATAAAATGACCATTTTTTTCTACCCAGTCCCGAAATCGGAAATTGTTCCCCGATGTAGAAGCTATTCGGATGAATTTCGTACAAAACATCCGGGGCTCCGAAGCCGATGTTCAAAGATGGTCACAACAATTGAATTATCAGAATACTCATTGCCAAAACTGAGTATTACTGACATGATGTTGCCATTCAATGGCAGATATCATTGGAAGACAACGATGACGGAACACAATGAGTCGCTAATCATCCTTAACCCGGAGAGTCTGGGTTTCAAATGCATGGAACAAAACGACAACTCCAAAGCAGCTGTCCAGACTGATAAGGCACTCTGGTTTTCACTGTACCCAAATACACAAATATTTCAACTACTTCCAATGCATCACTACGGAGAGTGTTTCCAGACATATACCCCTGTCATTGTTGGGGAAATACTTTGTATCTAGAAGATGCGAATAGCATGTCACTCTTACGGCAACTGATCAAGTGGAATTTACACAATTTGTGTCATCACAATATAAGGGAGTGTTATTTACATATTCAAGATTGAAAAGTCTCTCTCCACACTACAACATACTTCAATCATTGCTGTTTCCAGAATATCATCGATGACAAAGTTGAAGAGGAACAATTAGATTGGGCGACCCTACCCAACTTCATTGATGAATCAGGACAATGGTGAAAGGTGATAGTATCCCTTCACTATAAACTATCACACCATAATCGAAAATCGTATCATCCAATTAAAATCATTCTAGTTTTAAATACCTGACTTCATATTTCAGTATAGTGTAGTCAGTTGAAATCTAACTACTACGAATTGACAACAAATAACAACAGTATTTTAAAGACGAATTACGAGTGTAGTTTTGTGAATTAACTTGACTATTATGTGATTAGTTAGTAAGGGATACTGTTCACATTTTCTTATATATACTACCATCGTTTAGAGACGTTACATTTTTGATCGATAACTCCAGGAAAAAACTGTGAAGGATAAGTGATTATTAAAACAAATTTGTAGAAATTTTAGATTAATAGATTTATAGCTTTAAGAGTTATAATTACATGGCATGACAGTCCGTCCGTATTGAAAAATAAGGTAGTTGGGACCAGTGGGTTTTTATAATGGTCGTGCTATTTCACCGGTTGGTTGGAATTAGAATTAGATCAGTGAATCCCAATACGATGGTATAAAAGTTAATTGTTTGTGGATCGTCCTGGGTTTAATCCCTATTGCAATGGAGATGTATACTGCTAGAGAGATCATGATTAAAGTAAAAGTTCTGTTCAGCTCTGTATGATCTTCAATGGATGACCTTATCGAATGACAATCCGTGAAGCACATGTCTAGTGTAAACAAACTAATCTTCAAAAATTTCTTAACGAAATAATTGTTATAACACAATAGATTCGGCTAAAAGCAAGATTCAGGAAGTATGTGTCAGCCTATTTACGAGTTATGAGCTTGATATACCTGCACTCTGGTCTTACTGCTCACATCAGGATTAGAATCCTGTACTTTCGTCTCAAATGATAAAGTGTTACTCACTGAGCTGCTGAGTTAAGATTTTTATTAACTTTTTCAACACATGACGTGTTTATATCGTTAGTACTGAGAGTTTAAACTATCCCGTCGTTGTACATTCAGCTGACGAGTTGCAAATAAGATGATACACATTCCTAAGTTTCCATTGTTATCTATAATTCATCTATTTTAAACAATCTTTGTTTCAAATGTGTATGTCAAGACTATCCGCATAGGATAACATACATCAGAATGAAAGAATGATCAGAATTCAGTCCTGAATATCAATAAAATTTTTCATCTGTTACTTAATGATTATTTACAAATTCAATTAAATATTACTTATTTATACATATATGTTCAAGTTCTTAGTCTCAGTCATCTGTTAATTTAAAAAGTAAATATCAGTTGTCCTTATGATAAGTACACAGGCATCATAATAGGACAGTTTCAAAGCGACTCCTCAATAAGGCAGGATTTGTATAATCTCTCATTAATGATTGAATTTGTTTTCATCTTGAAATCCATATAAATATTGCTCACAATGTTGCAATTGTTTAAGATATTGCGAGTCGTGGACTGTTATTACTGTTATTATTAGTAGTAATAGTAACAATAATAATAATAATAATCTGGTTAGTGTTTATTTAGCAAGGTTATTTTCTGCAAGATGTAGATGCTGACCCCATGTCCAACTCTCTTCCTTTATCTGGGCTTGAGACTGTTAGTTGCTCTAGAAGAGCTACAGGCAGAGCTAATAATAGTAATAAAGTATGTGTATATAATCCAAGACTTATTGAAAATTGAATATTCTTTGACTTCTGTGTATCTTAGAGAAGAGAAAAAAAGATGAGAAAAACAGCGAAAAGAACAACTTCTTTTCATTTTATACATTTATCATTATCATTTTATCTTTAATATTAAACATAAAGACCGTGTGAAAAGAGAAAAATTAACTTAACTAGCTAAATGTTATTCTCATTATTATTTTTAATTTTCTAATGATTGCGTGACCGATTTTTGTACCAGGAAGTAAACGTCAAATTTACTTAAATAAAGTGTTATTATGTTCTTCTACTCTTTTCCACTTCATCACTGTCATGCTTTATATTTATTTAATTTGTTCATCTTGTCAATATATTCCTATACATATAATTTTATAGATAAGTTTTTCATTAGTTACGATAATTTATTTTCTTGTTTGTTTGTGTTTTATATGTTGTTCTATTGTGTTATTGGTGGAGTTTTGCTCTATGAAGTGGATGGTTTGGTCGTGGAGCTTTCATCATTTTTCTGAACGACATCTCTACGGCCAAACCATCCAACTCAAAGAACAAAACTCCACCGAAATCATCCACCTGAGCTATAAATCTTCTCCACCATCTCTATTGTGTTAGTTATTCTCCAATGTTTATTATCATTGTTATTAAACAATGATGTGAGAATAGTTCAAAGCAATATTATTAATACTGTTCATACTACTGATCTGCTTAAGTATTCTCATTTTATGTATTGTTATCTTTTATTTCTACTACTAGGCACAAAAACATCGTCAGCGTTTACGTACAGCATTAACAAATTTCCAAATATTTTTATCACATTTAGGCGGTTTATTCAATATTACAATTCAAACATGCAATGATAATGTTGTAAAATATGGAAAGAATACAGCAAACAATACTAATACTGCTAATACTACTACTAGTAGTGGTAGTAGTAGTATCGATCAGTCATCTTTATCATCATCAATACGTCCCATTTTAATAGGTTATAAAGAAATAGATCAATGTTGGTTGAAAGAATTACAAAATAGAATTAATGTTCGTTATACAGAGAAAAGTTTATTGTAAAAGATGAAAGATAAATAAATGAATTTTCATGTTATTCTTCATTTTGTAAATTAATTAATTAATATATTTGTGCACAGTTTTATGTGTATTACAGTTTATGTTTGAACAGTATTATTTTATTACATTCCAGAGGAAATGTAAAATTATATGCAAATATTTACTATAACGATGACAAAACATACTGTCTCCTTTTGTTTTCTTATTGGTTTTTGTGGTAAATGATGGATAATAATTATACTTGTGACAGTTTAATGGTGTTTTAATTGGTTGGAATTGTACAAAGTCGACT